TAAGGTCAACATTCACCTAGTCGCTCAGTCGACTTCCTGTCATTGATAGCACAGCAAGGTAACCGCCGACTTAGAAAATCTGCCGCCCAGAAAATCTGCAGTACTCTCTTACGAACATAGGACAAGGCTCTGTGTTTGCGAATAAGTTAGCAGGTGGACGATAAACCGTTAAATGTATACGGGTGACCGCATCGACATCCGATACACTTTGCTGCTTAGTGAAATAGCGTTGCACAGTTTCGTTGTTATTTTAATTCTTATCGCGAATGCGAGAAATGTCATGATGTGATTTTGCCATTCACTCGTCACACGTTCGTTGGCGCATTGACCGTGAGTTAAACGAATTTCGCGATGGCTGTCAACCATAGGCATCGATCTTCCTTCCGCGTCGACGATTCGAAATGCATCGCGATACTTTCTAATCCACGGTCCACTTTCCACTTTCCGATTTTACTTAAACGCAGCATAAACGAGAATTCGAGATAGCTTTGTTCTCGAACGTACATTGTCGGCGACAGTCGAATGAAAATAACGCGTCATTGACCCAATGAACTCACGTGCTATAAGTGGCGTGTGATAAGAATCTCTATATGCTTTTAATTATAATATAATTTTCTAGATCTTTCAGTAGGGGAAACCCGGGACTAATTACACTTTTTTTATATGATAATTTTTGGTAACTAACTTATAAATTGGATAGATTATACCGCAAAGATATTTATCAAAAGCTGAACATTTATATTATTATTTGTTAAAGTTGTAATTTATTTATCTCACATTAGTGAAAATATTAAAAGCACTTGTAACAATTTATATTCATTCATTCTACATATGGGACAGTTTGTTACAATTATCAGCTGGATAAATTGTGATAGCTATAAATTCTTTTAAATATATTAATTATTTATAAATATATTAAATTCTCGAATGAAAACATCTTTTGCCAATAAAATATCGAATTTCGCTTTCGCTGCAGATTTCTTGACCGAATCAAAATATTTTCATAATAAAGACCATCAAAGCTGTGACTGAAAGAAAGCAATTTTGAAATATTCAATATAATCATTTGTACAATCGTGCAATATAGGATGGGCTGAAATACATATGATACGACCGAAAAGATGATTCGGTTTAAAATAAATCAAAATGATAGAATAATTTTTTTGCATAAGGTGTTTTTGAAAAAAAAAAAGAACTTGAAGGTTACATACATGTGCACATGATACTTGACGTAACAATTTTTGCTAAAGACAATCTGATTTTTTACTATTAGGATTTACTAATAATTCAATCAGTTCCATAAGATAAATGAGTGAATTTATATGAGACAAAGACTAATTTTATTTCTTATACATTTATTTTTTACTTAACTGTGATATTGTTGAAATGGTTGGTCATTTTGTTGTATACAAAGTTGAATTCTGCAAATTTAATTAAAATGGATTGTTTCTAATGTATTCTGTTTTTTTAATTTTTTAACAGTGCAAGAATATTTTTTCCTTTTAACACTTAAAGTGCCAACGTTTCTCATTCATTGAAAGAACCAAGAATAAGTTACTATGAAAATAAAAAAAATGAAGAACTAAGTATTTCATCAGTGTAAAGAATACTGACGTAATTATTGAAAAGTTAAAAAATTTCAAACGCCTATCTTTTACAAAAGAAATAGAATTTAAATCTAAAAAATAAAAACGGTCAATAACGACCACTCGACACTTCTATTGTTCAGGATAATAAATTCAGAATTTTTCTAAAAAAAAAGGCTTTATTCGAAAAAATTTATTCTTTTATTTCCTTTAGTTTAAGCCGTAGAATCACCCTCTTCTCGATTGTACCACGTATTTCCCATCCTGTATACTATAATTTCGACCTCAATGGATCAGCGTTTTAAGTACGTCCGTCGAAAGTCAAACGTTTATGACGCGCAGAGCAATTGACGGGCGTAATTTATTTTACAGTTATGCGCTTGCGGAATTTTGGGTGCGGGCCTTTGGCTACGACTGGCTTACTCCGGATACGCGACCTTGGTACCGCAGTACAGCTTCGTGTCGGCGGATTCGCTGCTGCTCGCCGCGGGATGCGTCACATTCGTCATCGCCTTCTTCGGATGTTGTGGCGCGTGGTTCCAGTCAAGATGCATGTTGATCACGGTTGGTACAACGTGATCCATTGTAAAACACGTGCTTTGCAAAAAGCGCGCGTGGTACAGTATACTTACGGACTTTTTGTGATACGCACGCAGTATACTACATATGCGGTGCACGGACTGAAGCTTATAACTTGACAATCTTGAATATCTTTGTCGTCAGTAAATCGTGATTCGAATTTCTGTTGTCATTTGAATAATTTGTCACAGAGCAATACGCGTGCTGTCCATGCTGACTACATTTTTTAATAATCTTTTAATCATCTTTTTTCCTCATTTATTTTGCTCATCCTTAGCTGACGTTAAGATAATTAATCTGCCTGCTAAGCGAAATAAAATATTCTTTTCATTATACATAGTTTATACATATGGAATTCGTGTAGTATGTGACGCAATATGTGACGGATCGATAAATTCGTTTACATATTATATGAGACCTTGCGTGTATAGTGGTAATTACATAGAATATGAGATTTTTTTCCCCGCTCTTTCAATACTTGTTTTCTCTTGATGAAAGAAATAAGTGTTAGAATTAAAAAACTTTTGAAAATCTCAAAACTTGTAAAGAGATGCCTCATGTAAATAATAATAGAAAGAAAAAACATTTACATCCCGTAATTTTCAGTATTTCAGTCTGGTAATACTCATGTTTCTCGCCGAGTTCATGCTGGGCACCTTGGCGTTCGTGTTCAGAGAACACCTCGCGAGGAGCTTAAAGGAGGAGCTATTGTACGGCATTGAGAAGCATTACAATATTACGAGGGAGCCGGGAACACTTTCTGCCATGTGGGACCATATACATACCGAGGTTTGTTTAATTATTTAATTAATATTTGCAAAACACTACACGAGGTGTTACAGATTTCTGCGTTTCCTTAATTTATTTTAAAGAAACTTTTTTCAAAGAAACTTTTTTCCACGTAGTTAAAAAATCAACTACTCCATATTGCATAGGATGTTAAATTCCCAGTGAGAAATGACAATGGAATCGATGTCGATTCCATTGTCATTTCTCACTGGGTTAAGATCTGCTTTTTTTGTGGCTGAACTAAACAAATACATATTTGATGTTTGATAAAAGTAAGAGAGATAGTTTTAGTGCAGCCCAATGCAGAGACAAAGAATAAGTCTTAAGTAAACGCTTAATATGATGATGCAGTTTTAAATGTACACTTGCAGTTTCATTGCTGCGGCGTACGCGATTATACGGATTGGTTCCAAATCGAGGCGTGGCCAGAGGAGGATCGGGTTCCGGATTCTTGCTGTATGCAACGAGAACGATACTGCGGTCGTCTAGATTCAGAGGGTCGTAACAAGGAGCTCTGGTACAAGGAAGGATGCGCGACCGCCATTCAAATGTGGCTGGTAACCAGACTCCACGTGGTGGGCACGGTGGGCCTCGTCGTGGCCTTCCTTCAGCTATTCGGCCAGGTGGCCAGCATGATTCTCTTCTGTACAGTCAGGCACAAGAGATCATCTCACACGTACAAGAGTTACGACACTACCAATACCTAGAATTTCAGATCGATCTTAGACGAGACAACTGTCTAAGATCGATAGCACCCTTCTCGCGCATTTTTTATTCCCGTTGCATGCAACAGGAACGAATCTTTTTGTAATCGTGTCGCTCCTTTTTTGAGGACTTTGTCAATTTCATCCGAATTTGCAAATTCGTATTAATAGGAATATGAGTACAATGAGCGAGACGAAAAATTGTTAAGAAAGAGCATGAAAAAAAAAACGAAATGATTAAGTTTTCGATGATTATTGAACGTTACTTTATAAATACATTTACATATGAGACAATTTAAGTAGATAAAAGTACGTTGATGTATAGTTGACCAAAAAGTTTCTGCTGTGTACCAAAAAATATGATAGTTATTCAATGGATGGACTTCCTTCTTAGTTTGGATTTGATAATGCTTCTTGTAATCTCCAATGATTAATATCGCGACTTTTAATAATAGTCCAACTTTGTCAGCTGATATTTATATTTGTAACTGTTCTAAGAGAAAGCGTAAAAAATGTATAACTTGTGAATCATTTTAATGTGTATAGATAGATAAAAATTTATTGATCGTGTAGGTAAAATCTATAACAGAATGGGAAAGTTGATTTAAATACAAGAACAAATTGTATAACGAGGCTAAAGACAATCGATCATTAAATTGTAATTTTCTAGTGGAACAAGCTCATCCTACTTTCGTGGAGTATTCTAATCCTTATATACTCAATATTCATCTACAAGAAGTAATCAATCGCTATCTTATAATAATTGTAAAATCTCTGTTTTACAGTAATTGTATGTCATATTGATTCTCAACGTTAACAATCGGGAGCAGTTAGATAGATAGCGTGCATGATTATGTGATTTAGTCCTGAGTATTCAATAGAGATTGTAGATCAAATTATCTTCAATGTCATAAGCATGAATGCTTTGCTAAGATTTTTGTATTCAATATATATATATATAATATATAAATATAGATAAATATATAAATTTAGTAAATTAAAAATGATCGTTATTCTCATATGTTATTTGATATCGACGAAGCAATCAATTGACCATAAGTTAAAAGCAATGTTAAAGACTGTACAATGCAAAATCGAGATAGTAAGACGATAGTTATGTATTATGTGTATTGAACAAATTACTATTAATAATAATGTATTTATATGTAATGAAAAGCTAGCCATTATATTCAGTTCTATTTTTGACTTTATCATTTAACCAAAATGAACGAATTACTGTAGACAAATAATACAAATTGGTAGTACAAAAGACATTTATATTTGATGAATTATATATATTTGCGAATTACTTACCAAAATTTGAAAAAAATTTTATAATGTTACCATTTTTTAATTATAAATATGGGTATATCCACTTGAAGATTCTGATTATCATACTTAATATTTCATTAAACTGCACATAAACATAAAATTTTAATTATTTAAGTATTGATATTTATAATTAAAAGAGGATTAAATGTTAAAGAATATAAAAAGAATATAAAAAAGAAGATTCAATGTTGAAGAATATAAAAAGAATATAAAAAAAGAAGATTAAATGTTAAAGAGTATACACATACATATATAGATGAGAAAAAAAGAAAAATGATTTTATTTCTTTAAATAAATAACGTTACGCTTACCGGTTGCTGCATAGCGCGTACTATAAAGTCACTCGTTGAATTTAGTGTTTTTGAAAATGTTGATAATATATTCTTAGTTCCTAATATTATTGATTTAATAAGGTTCAATATCATTCTTAATGGCTGATTGAAAATATTATTTCCACAATTAGTTACATCAGAATTATCTCCAGTAACATCCGTTGTTTTATTTCCATCATAAGCCTCAGTTGTAGAAATGACAGGAAGTTTAAATGTAGTCTGTGAAACAATTAGATATGTATACCGATAAGAATATGTAAGAAAAAACTTTACTTATCGGTATCCTTGAATATAAAATCAAGAAGGGGTATGTAAAATAACTTGAGCTAATCGATGAGTGAGTATTTTAGACGTAAATTGCATAAAATGTTTCGATGCATACAAAACTTTAAAAAAAAAACTAAATAAATATTTTTATTTTGTAATAGGAAATTTAGTTTATGTAATGGAAATTTAAATTTGAAAAATGTAAGAAACAATATTTACATAAGGCTACAAAGTTGGAAAATTTGTGTTAAATTAAACATATTTCACATGTCTTAAATGGTTCAAATTTTTATCTTAATTTAATATAAGATCATAAGATATTAAATTGATGATTATTAGAAAAAAAATAAAAACGTAATGTAAAAAAGTTAATATAAAAACACTTTGACATAATTTGGAAAAAATTGTGCAGGAAGTATATTTTTAAAATCGACATTTATAATATATAAAATTAACACGTAGGTTTAACATTTATTTTAGGATTCTTGTTTTAAAACCACATTATTTTTGTATTATTTGTTCTTTTACTCATGAATTGTGTTATTTTTATACTAAAAAATGTTAAATATTAATTTAACACAAAATGTTCAACTAACATAATTACATACCACATTAAATTAATACTCGGATGTGTTAGAAACTTAATACAAAAATTTTGACGAGAACAAGTTCAAACACAAATACAAAATGTTTTTTATTGCGCAGTATTCCAAAAATAAAAATAAACTTGTACGGCTACTTTAAGAAAAGTTTTAAAGTAATAAAGAGAGGTGATAAAATTATTACAGATTGTTCTATTATATCTGTAAGTATTCGCTATTTATTGTCAGAAAAATTGCTTCTGTTTTTAGAGTAAGTTTTTCAGTTAAATACATTATCAGCAATAGTTATAAACAATTTATATAATTTATAAGTGTTCACATTATGATGCAAAAAATTCATGTACCAGATCAGTATCCCTTCTATTTCTAGCATTTCGCGCTAAGATAGTGCTCGCGAAGAACAAAATCAACAATAGATGCACACGCATTTAGACTTTCGAACGATCACTATTTTTCGAAAAAAATATTGCAGGTTTTTTTAGTTTCTTTAGTTACAAGCACACTTATATGGCATCACTGAGATATTCGAGAATTAACCAAAATAGGGGTGAATTTAAAAGCAAAAGACGACGCTGATCACATTGCAGTCCTTTTATAAACGAATATTGCTTATTTTCTTCTCCCTACCTGACAGTGGACAGAGACTATAATTATTCCTGTACTCGCGATTTGCATATCGCCAATATATTTTCAAGCCACTCAAAGCATGCGCAATTTCATGTACAACCGTAGTCAGCACGAGCTTAAAATTTTAGCATATCGCTTAAATTTTAGTATGAGTCAGTGATAATATCAGTATAGCTTAATGTTATCAGAACCAAATTATTATATGCGTATACTATTTTAGCTATGACGATATTTCGTGAATTTTCCAACAATTTATGAATAATTTGTGAACAAAACACATAAATTGTGAACAAAACATATAAATATATAGAATGAGTCATATTTTAAAACTTTGTGAATGTTTCCGGATAAAAAGAGAAAAACAATTAAAACATTCTTATAAATATTAAGAAATTGCAATTTGCAATATTCAACAAATGCTTCATTATCGAAATAATTGATAAGAATTTTGAAATAATGATTGAATATTATATTAAATTCTTTTTTTCAGGTGTGAAAAATGAAAATTATTTGATTTTATAATCGTATGTGTCAATTATTTCACGAAGCATTTTAACGTTTACAGAAATAATTTAATATTCATAGAAACATATTGTTCTTTCTTTTGATTTAGGCTCACTAAATTTTAAAACATACGTGAAGATTCAGCGCCTACAAAACTATAATTATAAGAGAAAATTTTCAACATTTTATATACTGTGTTTATGCCATTTAATTCCGTGATGTAAAAATGCGGTAAATATTCGGTATATAACGCCGCCCCCTCCAATTTTCCTATAGTTTGTAAATTTGTGTATTTTCATGCGTAGTATATTCCGAGAAAAAAAATTGTTGTTCACAAGTTTCATCCATTCTAAAAGCCATTAGTCATAAATCAGAAATTAGAAGCTGGAAATGGACCAATCACAGTCGTCAATTTTTATTTTCTAATTTTTGATTTATGACTTATGGCTTATTATAAAATGGCCATCATTCCCTTATTATTTAATTTCAAAGTTTTTTAATGTCGGTAAATTCATGTTAGAAATATTCAATTTATCTGCGATCTTGTCAGTGGTCCATTTTCTCTGTGGCTCTCTACTATTTTATCAACATTGGCGATTTTATCGACAATGTCAGAAAAATGGATGTAGCCACGTAGTACCAAACAAAAAATGGATGTACTGGCGCTAGTGTACGGGCGATTTCGCTGGTGCCATGAAAAACGTCGAAATGACCTTTTTCAGATTTCTCTTTGACATATATAATATGTACATTTAAGATTACTATTGTACGTGATAAAAAGAAATCGATAGAGTATAAACAGAGAGAAAACCTGAGGGCCTTTTTCCTGTAACCGCAAACTCCCACCGCGCACTACTGCCCTCTGAAGAAGTAGATGTAAACTACACAACAATATCCATTTTTTTGCGGTGCTCCTGATGGAAATAAATCGCTGAAATATCGCTGAAATAACTAAAATTTATCAAATTAATATTCAGATTTCTCTCTGTCTGTATTCACAGTCAGATCTTATATTTAAGATCGTATTAAGTACAGTCTTAAGGGGATGCTAAAGTTGTTCTACTTTACCATCATTCCTATTCGGTGAAATATCTCCGAATTGAATTAACGGATTGCAAAATTGTTTTTACAGAATTAAAGTACGCACAAACAGGACCTCAGCTGTATCGGATTTTATGAGAAAATCGAAGAAGTTTAAAAATTCGTTTACTTTTAGCTCGTACAGCTGACACCTCAGTTCTACATTTGCTTCATACAAAAGTTTTATAGTTTATATCTTGAAAATAAGCATACGGCTGAGGTCACATTATTGTAACGAACGATACCGAGTTTGTAGAACTAAGATTGAAAGTTTAGAAGAAAAGTTTTTTCACCGAATGGAAAATACATATATACGGATGCTTTGCGAAGACTGAGACTGTCAACAGAGCCGAAATTCAGTGTAGTAATAGTTGCGCGGTCTTGCGATAGATGGTGTAGTAGTTAACTTGATTGAAAATTCAGTTTCGAGTTTCTTAATATTCAATAATTTTTATTTCCACAATAGGAGATACCAAATTAAAATTTTCGATTAAGGATCCATTAATAAACATTGTATCATTAAAAGATTTACTAAATAAAAACGTAAAGATTGTTACTGCAGAACCTGGATTCGGATTTTCTTGAAATATACACGAATTTCGTGTTATGATATGCATTTTGTATACGAGATATCTTATATATAAAAGCAAAAGTGTTATAAAAATTTATAAGCAATTTTTGTATTTTATATTTTATATTAAAAAGATTGAGTCTATTTTTTTGTTGTATCGACAAAACATATGATAACAAAAATTTGTTTATTGATTTAACAAGTTTGATAAATATTTAATTTTGAAACTTCCTCTTCAAGACTTCTTTTAGTTTTTATATCTTGGCACATATAACGTTTAATAACATCGAATTCCTATATTAATTTTTACACAAAACGAAATGAAATTGCATGACTGACAATATACGTCCCATTTCTGGGTCCTGCAATGTTTGCCGTGTCCTATATGTGCAAGAGCCACTATCTTTTATCATAGTCCCCCCTTTTATATTTATATTTATGTATTTATTTATTTATTTAATTAAAACATTTTATTTTTAATATATTTATATACATTTGATTAATTGTTTTGATTAATTTATATTCAGTTTATATTTATTATTCGAGTCCGATGATCCGTGCTCCTAATTTATCCAATGTTTGCGTTATTCCTCGAGAAGTTTGTTTAGCTATACCAGTGGGGAACTGAAATCACAAAATTTTTTTACAAATTACTGTATTATATATTTAGATGGATTACTGAAGAGATTTTGTTTTGCTTTTTAAATTTATTTTAATTAGATTTTTTTAAATAAAGTTTATTATACATATATGGTCTAGTATCCAATATGACCTACTCGATATTTATGTAATTACATAGTAATTCAATAGATAATATTAATAAGTCATACAGGCTGTTTGCCTGATTCGACAGCATTAGTTTATTGCTCAATTTGTTTATTCTATCGTTGTCTGTAAGGCAATATGCAGAACGTCGTGATTGTGATGTAATATTTTGTACACTAAGAAAAAGTTGTTCTTTTTACTAAATTAATTGTTTATATATTTGTCTAAATTAATTTAGTTGTCGTTATTTCTTTTGTTGGAGAATGTATATGTTTAAGTCAAATATAATATGTTTGACTTAAATATATACATTCTTCATTGAAACAAATAAAGACGAACTAAATTAATTTAGTCAAATGAACAATCTTTTATCTTACAATTAGTATAGGTTTAAGTATAAATTGCTTTCTCTCTCTTTACAACTACCAAGACATGATTATTGATTTCCGTAGTTCATATTATTGCAGCTCTCTCTGTATTTCTACTTTACAATACTGTACTGTTTGTAATCAAAATCCAATATTTCAGAAATATTTCAACTGAAAAGTGAAACATATAATAAAATTGCGAAATATGGTATGTCTGCAACATTTCTGAGACAGCTCTGGAATAGCAAAATGTGCGCAATTCTTGCACATGAAACCTTGTTTAAGGATTAATGAAATGTTACAGAAAGAATCTGCAATATTTTTGAAATATTACCAAAAAGTTTTCAGTTATTTTTAGTACTTCAAAAATGATATTTAAATATATATTTGAGATTGATACTTAAATATCACATCTGAAGTACTTCAAATTTATTAAGAATTTTGTAATCTGTTTACAGATTACAAACTTATTGAAATAAACTTAAAATATCTCTCAAAAATGATAATTATATCGCCAACTATTTTAATTAATTAATCACATTATATGTATAGACACATATACATAATCACTAGAAAAATAGAAAGTCACTTATACCTGCAGTTTCCATACAATATCATATACAATATTCATATACAAAAATTTTTCGAAATTAAAGTAGAACAACTCACGATAACATCAAAATAACATTAAACGTACTGAAGCGTGATTGATCAAAAAATTACTTTTAGTAAACATTTTAGAGCCATTTTAAAATCATGATGATTTTTTGTTCTGTTTAAATATTTTTCAATTTATTGTATATGATAGATTTTAGAAACATTTCTGTTAAAATATTTCATATGACATATTGCAGAATCCTTTCAGAATTGTTGCACATGAGATATGAAAGGTTGAGACATTTCTAAAAATTTTCCGCAACAATCGGTGCTGTATGGGAGAAAAGTAATTTTTTCTAAGGTAGACCTAATATTGCCAACCTAGGTATACTGAATGAATGTACACACATTGATTGTAATGTTTTTTTTTTGCTACCTTTGTTATTTCAAACAATAGATTCTAATTCACCTGCTAAACATCATGGAAATAAGTAAACACATAGATAAGTAAATGAGTAGATATACAAGTCAATTGTCTTACACATCAATATGTTAATAAATTTATAATCTATATAACATTGGATCACTTTATTTTCTATTTCTTTAACATTTTATAATAAAAAAAAATAAAGACATACTAAAGTTTAGGCCATATTGGATACATATGTATTAATATGATTTAAATACTGCTCTTTCTTAAAATCTTTATTGCACCTATGTCAATATTTAAAAATATTATATATTTTTTTAATGTTCCGAATATTTTTTCTTTTAAATTTGATCACTAATTTTCAATTTTGTACTTAGCAAAAAATTAGAAAAAAATCGCAGCTTAGATAAGGTCTAGTTATCTTATTTACTGTATTAATACATTTACTGTTGTTTAATTTAATTTAATTTATTGTGTATATTAGAATTACAATTTAATGTACTTACCTCTACTAAGTTATTCAAAAAATTACTGAAATTCTCGAAACCGTTAATGAAAACCCTTCCGATTCCAATAAATTTATCTCCCCTATTACCATATTTTTCTTCATCCTTAATTCGATCAATAAGTGGCTTTGGTGTCAAGAAACTATCCAAAAGTCGTCTGATGTTGTCAGGTTTTCGTTTTTCTAAAATACCTTGGGCGGTCTCATTTTCTAAACGAATTCCTTCTTGCGGTATCGGTTGAAATAAAACTATTGACGTTGTATCTTGTATAGGTTGTATTGATGTGCGACTTTGAGGTTTGTCAGATTTAACAATTGACGGATCAAGATCACTTCGAAATTCGCTATTTATATGCTGTAAAAAAAGAAAATTTTTCGATATGTCAATAATAGTTAAAAATTACACAAATAGAAAGATATTGACAAAAGCCAATAAAATAACCAACGAAAACAGGAAGAAAATGCAAAAGGAATAACAAATTCTATATATTTTGCAATGCTCAGTTAACATGGCAGTATTATGATATTTTGATATTATTTATTTATAATTGGATTTTTTTATTTGTTTTTAAGAATTATTCCATAGGTCCCTACAGACGAGCGACTTTGTAGCGTCTAAGACGTCCGTGGGATTTTACACACTTGGATACTTGTACATGTCTTGAATATCCGCTGGATAACTGAGATCATCCATGGATATCACAAGATTATCGCAATATCCCAAAATGACGTCCATTGGACATCTCTAGGGTAAAGTGTGCTGTGTGGAATTATTGACCAAAAAATTTCGAATTAATGCTAACTAGAATACACGGTGACTTTACATAAATTGCAATGAAGATATTATGTGGGTCTTTGCGAATATCATGTTACCAGAAATAAATTGTCGTTGTATAAATGCTACAGTAATTACCTCTGCTCGATTGATAATGATGTTTCTAGCCAATATTATAAAATTGACAAATCTTCCTCTGCCAATTCTAATAGCATCGCTGACACGTTCTAATAATTCCTACGAAATAGCAATTTTGACTTCGCCTGCTGATTACAGTGGCGAATCACGAGAATCTAATTAGAATTTTGGATACAGCTAAGGAACAATTTTTTAAGTAAATTTTTAGATTTAAATTAAATTTAGATTTATGACTTTTTGTTTTATTGCTTTCAATGAATTAGAACAATCTAATAATTACTTTTGACTGGCGTTTTCCAAAAGTTGCATTTTCATTTATTTTCGCGAATTATATAAGTAAAAAATTTTACCTTTATTATTTCCAGTTTTGAGGGTACAGCGTTTTCGGTATTATTTTGTATGTTGTCAAGAGTGAATTTTGTCGGTTCCTCCACAGGACGAGCACCCAGTAAATCCAACGAGCAGATAAATGATGAAATCATTAAAATTCGTAACATGGTTTTCCTTAGTGAAGTATAAAAAAGTTCCTAAAATTATATCTTTTAAACAAAGAGAAGTTTAAAATTTCGAGTTCTTATAAAACTTATAAAACTATTAATTTAAATTTAATTAGGAAGATTAAAATAATTTTTCCGTTAAAAAATTAAATTAATGTACAACCTATAAATATGCTCTGTCCCTTATTTTAAAAAAAGAATAAAATGAAGTATTTAATGACACACACACACACACACACACACACACACACACACACACACACACACACACACACACACACA